AGATTTTCTCCAAAGTGTCGGAGAATGCTATGTACTAGTTCATGAAATTCTTATATTATCTTATTTTTTTTTAGTTTAGTGTCAACCATTTATGAGTTTAATAAAATTTTGTCGTATACGACATTTGTCAAAAAATTTGCAGTCAGTTTTAGTGATATACGCCAAAATGTGATAACAATTTTTATAAATTAACCATACTTTTTACTAATCAGCCTAATCGTGAGTTTCGCCCCAACAAAATTTCGCCAACAATTTTTTCATCCACCTGTAGTGAACACACGCAAACGAAAAGTGACCCGGTTCTAGAAAATGAAACTCATGATAAAGCTGAATATGTCGTAAACTAAAGAAGAACAGATAACTCTATTTAAAAGATCTTGATTAGTTTAGTACGACAGCAATACTAACGCAACTTGTACCAAATAACCGAAAAAATTTTAGTCAATTAGTCGGAAACTAAAGAAGATATCCAAAAACCAAAAATTGTCAAAATGACGCTTCCGGCAATTTTCCATCGAGGCGACGATATTTGAATAGCTTTGTATAGTTACCAATAGTCAGTACTAATTTGTACTGGAACCTGCAAACTTTTACTGGAAAAGTGTATGATAACCCAAAAATTTGCAAGAGAGCACTGAATCGAGAGCGTAACAACACGAGAGAGCTGCAAATTCTTGCTAGTGAAATTTTTACTAGCAGAAATTAGCTAGCAGAAGAAGAAGAAGAATAAATGTCAAAAGAATATATAAAAGGAGCGTTCCTTATCTCCCAGAAATAGTCAGAAAAAGTCCGAAGTAGTCAGATTTAGTCCAAAAAGCGTTCCTTAACTCGGAAATGACAGCAAAAATGAGAGAGCAACAGTCAGTGAGAGTGACTCTCATCAGTCCGAAGTAGTCAGATTTAGTCAGAAGAATTTTTTCTGGCAAAATCCTGAAAAGTGTCAAACGCAACTGAATTTAAATTAACGGAAATTAAAGAATACGCAAAAAGTGAGAATAATCTAAAAAGTAAAAGAAATGAATTGAAATTGGAAGGAGGCAAAAAATAATTGATATAGTAAAGGCGGGTTCACCGTTGGTGTCCGGACAACTTTTTATTTGCTCTCAAAAGATTTGAGCCGGAGAGGGTACTGAAGTACGGTTCCCCGTTGAGTTCGACACATTTTATTTTGTTCTGAAGCAAACAGCTGATGATATTGTTGCCTACATACGATTTTTAGGACAAATAACACATGCAATTCTCTGCAAACGCATATAAAGGAGAACGCGGCAACCCGAATCATCAAGTCGTTCGGACAGAAAATCAAAATCAACTTGATTCGAACAAAGAGTGTTCAGCACATTTTTGTCGCGCTCTCAGTGAGACAAAGTGGGAAAGGAACGCGTAAAATTACTAACAAAAAGTGTCCGGACACGAACGGTGAATCCGCCTTAAGTGTTTATTGTGCTTGTGCTTGTGTGAATGTGTTTTGTACATACATTTCCATTCTTATTTGACGTTAGTTTTGTTGTTGCCAATCTTTGGACTAAAAATTTGGTTTTTTGCGTTCCTTTACTTTTCCTGTTATTCTCTTTTAGTGAGCGAATTTTGCTTACGCTCTGGCATTTTGACACTTTTCAGATTTTAGTCCAAAAGGATAAGAAATGAACCTAAAAAGTGGTGTTACTAGCTCAGTTGATTTTGTGTATGTGTTTCGCCGCACGGCTTCTGATATCAAATTGAAAAATTTTGTTTGAATTTCTACTCACACTTACAGGTTTTGACAGTTTATGCCGCCAAAGCAAAAACAAAATACATGTAAATTTTTGTTTTTGTACTCCTGCAATCACCTTATATTGATTCGCCTTGGCACAAACAAAAGTAAAATGAGTGGAAACAAAAATATTAATGATGTACTGGACAGTGTTAGTGCTTGTGTGTAAAGCAAAGAGTTTAAAACTGATTTATAAATAGTAAAATGTTAACAGCAAATTGTCAAAGCAGTGCAACAACTGTTCACTTGCAAGTTATTGCTAGTTTTGTGTTCAATAAGTTCTTCTGCTAGTTTTCTCTTCTTCTCAATTTAACGCTCTATTTTGCTTTTACGCTCTCGCTGCAATGTTACTGTTACTATACAAACCTAATGTTACTCGCATATTTTCGAGCCTGTATGTACATTTTCGGGAAAAAGGTTAAAAAGTGTATCCATCTGCTGAAAAGATATTTTCGCAGATTCACAATTTATTTAAAATAAATCTATTACCCCAATCTCCAATTCCATGTGAATAAATCTCCCCAGTGCTTAAATAATTTTCACCACATTAAATAGCTGCACAACACCCTAATTGCCGAAAAAGCGTTGCTTGCAACACTAGTCCTTTATGGGGACCAAACTTGGCGAAAAAAAAATAGCTAAGTTTGTTTACTGGATATACTGAGCTAGAAACTTTTAGTTGACGAAAAAGTAGTACACGCGATAGACTTAACAAAAATGTATTTAAATATTATAAGGCGAATTCATATAAGGTGGTAGCGGTAGTACAAACACTAACATGTTTTTTACTTTTTCTTTCGCTACACAAATGTCAAATTTCAACTAGTCCTTGCTCAAGGAGGAAGAGGGAAAGAAAATTACAACGCTCTTATTTCGCACTCACTCGAAAGCAGTTTTGAGATATGTGTACCGCGGCGAATTAAAGCAGCTGTTCTAGGAACACCACCTTATATGAATGCGCCTTGTTATAATACTATTTTTCAAAAGAGTAATTTTGACACCCTGTGCCAAATTGAAAATTTAAGTTCCATTTGAAGTGAAAATTGCCAAAAATGGCACGGTTTGAGCCAAGTTGGCTGAAAAGGCCGAAATTATTTACGTACTACTTGTAGGAGTCCTACTTATGCTTGTGATTATGAATGAATAAAAGTATTGGTATGCACATATGTATGTTTGTATGTATGTATAAATGTCCATATTAAATAAATTAAGTAAATATCGTCACTAGACACGTATAAAGGCGCACTAGTGTTTTGACGGCGAAAAAAGACGCATAAAAAAATTTGACAAAAAAAGACGCTTAAGAAAAACTTTGTCGAAGAAAGACGCGTGAACATTTTTTGCGAGGTCAACTTTTGAGTTCGCGTCTTTATTCGTGTCTAGTTACGATATACACTTAGATTCTCCGTAAAATCTCGTATGGTTGTTGATTTACGAGAGTAAAAATTCTTAAGTCAAATAAGCATCGTCATCGCTTAGTTTCTTATTCGCCGTTTTATTGTTGTGCGGGTACGTGGCGTGACAGCTTTTACTTCGTACCTTATCGCGATCATCCGCTCTTTGGTTGTTTCGAAATGCGTGTTCATTAATGGCTTTTATTTAATCAACACTTGTTCATAATATGTATTTACTGTACATTAGTCTGATTCAATTGATAATCTTCAGTATATAAATGTATGTATGCACTAGGGTGCCCATTGGAAATGTTTTTTTCCCTTCCCCCTAATTTTATGAATTTTTATGAGAAATATTATTGCTTACTTTTATAGATTTTTTTATGGTCATTTAGAGGTCGCGACCTGTCGATTTAGGTCAGAAAATAGGATTTTTTAGATTTATGAGTTTTTGAATGACTATTTTTGATTCGATTTCAAAGATCGAATATGATCTGAGAAGAGGATGTATAAGCCTTTAAAATGGTATATAATAATCTATTATCGGACTAGGCTTGCTGGAATTTTTCATCGGGTAAACTAAAAAAAGACCCATATTTATCTTAATTTTTTAAATTTTGACCATCGATAATTTATACAATTTCAAAATATGGAGTACTATCTAAATTTAAATCTATTTTAATATAAACTGATACCTCATTTATTGCAATCGCATACAAATTGTCGAATTTAGACGACTTTTCTTAAGAAGCCTAAGCGCAATGTGTCTACCAATTTTGGGTTCAAAATTTATACAAAATTTTGGAAAATTCAGCATTTCAGGAAATTTCAACTTTTTATTCCGAATTTTTAAAAATTTTTGGGTATGCAGTTTTATAGCCCATACATTTTTAGTCTGAGTTTCAAAGGGCTAAAAAAATCGCGTTGATATTTGAGAATTTTTTTTTTTGGAGGCTACTTTTTGGGGTATTTTAATATTTTATTTAATTTACAAAAACTTGCGTTGATATTTTGAAATTTTGTTGATGACGGTCTACCGCGTTTTATTTCATAATAAATTCATACTTATATGAAAAAAATTGCAAAAATCCGTCACCAAAAAAATATTCTCAAAAATCAACGCGATTATTTAGCCGTTTGTAAGTTACACTTCATTAGGCTAGAATTTATAGGGCTATAAAACTGCATACCCAAAAATTTTCTAAAAATTCAGAATAAAAAGTTGAAATTTTATGAAAATTTGTTAAATTTTCCAAAATTTTGTGTAAAGTTTGAAACTGTGATTTACACGCTTTTGGCTAAAGCTTAGACGATATTTTTATATAAAAATAACAAAATAAATTTAGCTCGACAAACATTACGAATATTTGAAGAAAATCAACACGTGGTCATATGTTTGAGACACTGTATATTTTCCCATTATTTTGCCTTATCATTTGGAAAATCTAGAAATTTTAGCACAATGATGTTTATTGAATTTGTGCTTAATAATAGTTTTAATTTTTATTTTTTAAATACGAATATTAATCACATTTTTGATTTGCTATTGTTGTAAATTTTGCTAATCAAAAACAGGGAAGCTTTTACATATGTAAATAAAAGATTATAAATGTGCTAAAACCCATTTTCTGCTGGGATTAAAGTTATACATCCTCTTTGCAGAAGTAATTTATTACATAGAGGAGCTCCTATGTTAGGGCCTCAACCACATTTAATTCTATCGTTGGTATGTTGCATTTGAAGCTGCATATATTATCATGGAACGTTCGTAGGAGCACGCCGCGAGAGTGCAGTGATTTCGCCACTTTGATGGCTCGGTTTCTCTAATTCTAAATCACTGTGTACCGATAAAAAGCTCTCAGTGTACAGGCCAAGCTTTTTAATTTGACATCTCATTTTTGAAATTCCTTTGACCTTCACAAAAAATTCCTTCACGTATTATATACAGTGAGCGTCAAAAATAAGTATCTGCTGACGTTTTAAGGATTTTATTTTTTTATATTTTCCATAAAAAATTTCTGTTATTTTCGTATAAAAATATAGTTCATTCAACAGCAAAAACCACAAGAATACATTTTTTACATCCTACAAAACTCAGTAAAATGCAAGAAACTTTCATCGAAATTAAAATTTTTCATTTGCCGCTACCATTTCGTAGGGCCCAGTTACCAACATCAAAAAATTAAAAGAAAACAAAAATGTGTTTTTCTATTCGCGGTCGCCCCTCGGCAGGCGATGGCAATCCTCCCAAGTGTATTTCTGTCATAAAAAACAACTTCTCATCAAAATACAATCGCCGTTCGGAGTCGGCGTAAAGTTGTAGGTCCCTCCGCTTTGTGTGATAACGTCACGGCGCACGCCGCAAATCGGAGGAGAAACTCGGCCAGACACTCACATATTGTGTAAGCGCCAATTTATCATCAATTCGAATTCTTAAAAAAATGCAGTAAGGAGTTTTATAGCCCTTTTTTGTATAAAAAGTGCTAGTTTCAAGTCGCTTCAAATTTCCGTGGATTTTTGAGAATTTTTTTCGCTGATGGTGTTGCGTACGTTCTTTCATATAAACAAGTAATTTTTAAGCAAAAAACAAAGTCGACTTCAATCCTCATATAAAAATATAAGAGTACCGTTAATATTTTCATGATCCAATGATTGGATCTAGAGCCATGTCAAAGTTCAAGTAAAAGTGTGTTTGCATTGTTCAACTTTGCGTTCAACATTTGCGTTCAACTCAGCGCAGGGTTGCACGAAAAAAAAGTTGAATGGCTAAAAATATCAAAATATGAAAAAATATCAAAATATTCGCCATAAAAAGGTGTTTGCATTGTTCAACTTTGCATTCAACTTTTGGTTGAATGGCCTTTCAACTAATCGCTTTCAACAAAGTTGGTCGCCAGCCAACATTTAGCCATTCAACTTTTTTTTCGTGCAACCCTGCGTTGAGTTGAACGCAATTGTTGAACGCAAAGTTGAATAATGCAAACACTGCTTAACGGTGACGACTTTTATGACTGCCAGTTGATAGATGGGTTATAGTATAGCTAGAGAAATAATATGTTTAAAGACACTTTTATCAAAGTTGATAAATTTGACTTATGACCAATTTTATACCACAAATACTCCTATGTTCGATACGTTGTTTTATACACTTTCAATTTCTCGAATAAACGGATCCTATTGCTTCCGTAACTGGTATTTCCATACCCAACAATGCAGAAGATAGCGGAATGAAATCCACGCAGAATTTTAGACTTTCGTAGTTTGTTTAATGGCGATTGCCTTAAGAGCCTGGGAGCAATATCAATGGGGCCCTAGATTAGAATCCATAAGTTAATAGAAAATCTGTTTTCAGACGTACATATGTAGTGCCTCGGTGCTTCTTACTTAGTGTGTTGTCTTAATGTTATATTCTGTTTATCACACTGAACTGTCAGTCTAACAAATTCAATTTCCCATTCACTTTGGCTTGATTAGAACTATTTTAAGCATAGCACGAGCCATCCATCCATATCTATTCATCCAATTACATGCACGCAAATAAGTAGGAGGTGGGTGCTTTCAGCTGATATTGGTAACATATGTATAACAAAAAGTTGATTGGCATTGAAATGCATTTTATAACTCTTATTTATTATTCAACTAACCATATATTACGTAGTATGTACGTATATAAGTATATCTGCATATTTGAAAGCTAGAATTTCATGACGCACAGCGATAAGACCACCTGAGTATTATAGTGTTTGTCCTAACAGCTGAGGTTTTATGGGTGTTTTTACCTACTTTTCCTTGAATTGTTGAAGATATATTTTTGCTAGCTCTTTTTATGACGCGATAATGTCCACTTCAATTGTATTGACTAGTTTTATTTTTTCTACAATAATACCTACATACATATATTGAAACAAGTATTGTGTGCACTCTCACCAGGCTGATTTGAATTTTCTTCAACATGGAAGTGATACAACCCACCGCAAAATTAATGCAAGGTTTGCAATTCGCTGCCAGTAAACACCGCATGCAACGTCGCAAGGATAATGAGACTCCCTACATCAATCATCCCATCAATGTGGCTACCATACTGGCCGTAGAAGGTGGCATTTCCGATGAAACTGTACTAATTGCAGCACTTTTACACGATACAGTCGAGGATACCGATACCACATTTGAGGAAATTGAGATACAATTTGGTGCCGACATTTGTAGCATTGTGCGAGAGGTCACCGATGATAAGTCATTGGAGAAACAGGAACGCAAGCGTTTGCAAATCAAACATGCGGCAACGTCAAGCAGCAAGGCGAAATTGGTGAAGCTTGCAGATAAATTGGATAATTTAAGAGATTTGGGCAGGAAGCCGCCTATTGGTTGGTCGGTGGAGCGCCAAGAGCAATATTATGTTTGGGCCAAGAAAGTAGTGGATAATATGCGTGGCACGAATGCTGAGTTGGAGCAGAAATTGGATGATATTTTTAGGCAGAAAATTTTACTTTAAAGTTAATTTCTTGTTGGAAATAAAAAAAAATGCTGCATTAAATAAAAGCGCGACGTCCGTTGTTTTTAAAGCTTAATTTGATAAATATGTACATGTATATATATGTGCTGTTCGTTATAAGTACAGAAAACCTTAACGACATTGTTTACGAAATTGGTAACGAAATTAAGGCTTGAACTTTTGTCTAAAACTCCTGAAAATACCATTCCGGCATCTTGATCCTAAGGTCACTTATATTTATTTTTTGAACGGAAAAGACTGATTTTTGGCTAAATTTTTTTTTCAATAGCATAATTTTTCAGTATTTTTTTATTGCTTAATAAATGACTCTGAGTCAAGGTGCAGGGATGGTATTCTCAGGGATAGTAGCCGAGAGTTTTAGCTTTGATTTAGGCCTAAGTGAAAGGTTCTGTCACTATTTGTTTCTTTGCTGGAGCTTCTCAAATATTGCAAAAAACGCGATTTTTTGACACTTTGACCAAGTTTTTGTCAAGATCTGAAGCTGATGGAAGCCTTATACCTAAGGATTCGTAATCAGCACAAAAAAGTCTATCAAAAACAGGTTCAAACATTTGTCTCATCATAATCAGTGTTGCCCTGTGTAATCATAAAGAAGAGTATCGGATAATTATGTTAAGAAACAATAAAAACAGCTTCTGTAAATATTTTTTCGTATAAATAAATTTGCTTTACATCTTTGGTAAATATATAGGTATATGTATTACTCACCTTTTAATTAATTTTAATACTGTCATTTTACTTTTTATAAAAATCTGGGTCTTTTTGATAATAACTTTGACGTGTTGTTGTAGCTCATTTATTTTTATTTAATTTTATTTATTTTTAATAATGTCATTCAATTTGTTCCTTTGTTATAAATATTCTCGCAAAAAATTGTTTTATTATATCTTAACAGAACTTTTTAAATGCCCAATAAAACAATAATAGCTTTATTTCCAATACATATTTCCAATCGCAAAAGGAAATAAAGCCATTATGGTTTTATTGCTTATGGTGTTATTGAAATCCACCTTCTTATACCGTATATATGTATGTATGTACATTCAAGATTAGAAGTCTGAGGAGTAGGTACGATTCTACCTACTTTAACATACTTCCTTCCGTCAGCAGAATAGTATAAATAAGCACTGGGAATTAAAACAAAATGTGTTTTATTTCCAACCTTTGAATACCTAGTCTATGGTGAATTTACTAGGACTAAAGCTAAATCATTACGTTGACGGTGGGCTTTAGTTTTTCACGCAATATGCTCGATACGACCTTATCAACCTTGCCCCACGAGAATCTTGATAGCGGGTAAACCAATAAAATGAAATGATACAAAAATAATTAAATGCTACAGAGTAGTGGGTTACGTGCGTGTGAATACCGTTAGTATTTTGAGCACAAATACTCATTAATATGATAACAAATACTTATAAAGATGAATGCCATTATCGAACTTTAAAACTTTTGCATTAATTTTGCATTTTAGTCTGAACGCTTCGAAAATTGTGTCCCAACCAATGACGTCAACATAAATAAAGAAAGTTTTTGTTTGTTTACATACACATATGTATGTGCATAAAATAAATGTTTAAATGTCTGACGACTGTTAGTCAAGGGCGATTTTTGTACTACACTGTGCAACAATTTTAGGTTCATGGAATCTAACGGGGGGGGGGACGCCACGAACACAAGTCGATAGTACCGAACTAGGGTAATAAAAACCTAAGTTAAAAAAAAAAACATAAATTGCTCCCTTTTAAAAGCTATAGCCCGTCAAAGTAGAGCTATCTTTACCAATTTCTTTGCATACGAACTCTTCATAATATGCAAAAGCACGAAGCACCTGGAAGGTTGGTCGCCAAAATAGGTCCTAAGCCCACCTAAAGAATTTGTTGGCAAAATAGTAACTAAAATGGGAAAATTTTCCCATAAGCCTCAGGTAAAAACTACAAACTGTTCAATTTATGTACCAACATACAAATCACATTAGAAGTGGAATCGGGTTTGATGGCGGCGTTTTTGAATATTGGAGTGAACATGTTGCTAAATATTCACTACTTCCAACATCATCTGCAACCCTTCAGATAACAATCTGACACACAAACCGAACGGTTTCAACAGCTTTCGAAGCTAGTTTGAAAATAAATTTCCTGACGCAATATTACCTGAAATTTGTTGCTGGAATACGAAGACGTAACGAAGAACCATGCCTTATTTTATTTCGTAGAGAAACATGGCAAAAATATCAAACTCTAGTAACGAGAATTTAATTTTTTTAAATGCGCTGCAAGAGCCAAATTCAGAAAAATACTTTTCTTTGTTAGAAAAATGTGTTGCACAGTGTTGTCAATGCTATATAGTGTGTACATATGTACATGCATTTATCTATTTATATGTAAGTACATACTATGTACTATCTCAAATTATTTGTGCATATGGAAATGTACTGCACATGGATGCATATATGTACGTATGTATGTATGTACGTACATATGTAGAACAAATGTTCTAGTTCGTTAATATTTTAGCAAATTTATAGTTAAATAGACAAAAATGTTTGTCATGAACTCAATGCGTGCTTCTATAGGCTGTATACATTCTTATGTACATACATATTACATTCACACCATAGCCACCGATTTAAGTGATTTTGTAATTTAAAAAATATATTTTCGTACTAATCACCATTGTGTAATTTAAGTAACGCTAAAATGTATTATTCACAAGAGTGTTCGTCATAGTAAGTTCAGTGATTAAGTTCGCCTTTTTTTCCAACAGCGTCTGCTAATTTGTATATTCTACGTAAATTTCCTTTTGTTGATATGCGAAATTTTGTTTAACATCCATGTTAATACTCAGACACGTGTTTAAATAACTTTTGAATACTTTTACACATAACTTCTTCTTTAGATTGAACCCAATTCGAAGAATAGTTTTTTGAAAATAGTAAACATTATTAAAAAATGTTCAGCTATAACCTAAAGACGCTTCACACAATCCCCTGAGTGCATTCTTTCATATATGGGCTATTCTTACCATTATATATATTTTTTGTCCACTCGCTTATTCCGTGGGATATCCTTGATTTATTTAAACTTAGAAAAGGAAATTATTTCACTATTTTAATTTTTAATGTCTTAATAAGAAAAGGTCCTATAAAGAAAACATCGACGGCTTAGTGGAAGATCGACCTATCTCGACCTAACCGGTTCGAAAACGGTCTATCTCAGCAAACTTTTCAAGAACGCACCAATTTAGAATTTGTTTGAAGAACGCCCTATCTCAGAATTTAGTTAAAAAACGCCCTATCTCAACTGAAAATATATTGAAATGTATCACGTAAAACATTGTGATTATTGTAAAAAATAAAAGTGTACCATTTACGTGAGCGCCACTGTATTTATGCATTGCCCCAGTTTTCAAGGGGCTAATGAAATTATGTGCATATTTATGAATACATATTCAAAAATGTGTAAAAGTACATATGTATGTATGTATGTAAGATTTTTTGGCACTCTTGCACTTGGCTAACAAAAAAAAATGTTACGTATACGCACCGTAAAAAAGTAAGATAATTAAAATAAGGAAAAAAACCAGAGCGATACATACTTGTGTAAATTACTACGAGTATACATATGATTGTATGTACATGTATGTATATGTATATGACATAAGTGCAAACATATGAGCGCTATGACGTGTATGTAAGCTAGCGCCGAAAGCAGAAATGAGATTATGCGAATAATCTATTTACTACGTGGCATAAATAAATGAGCGACAAGCCAAATTTTTGTATTGAATGAGTCAAAACAGATCAGATGATTATTGTTTTGTTTGTTTGTAGTGCAAGTTGAATTCGTTGTTGTATGAATGTATGTATGTATTGCTTGATGCAATGGCATTTTGTGTGTAAATATTCTACATTTATTTTATATATATGTTATCAACTTGACGCTTAGTTATACCTATGTATACATGTATGTATGTACATATGTACTATATGTATCCTCGTTAACTGTTTATGGTTTATGTTAACCGTTTCACGTGAGCCACCTATGGAAAAATGTCTATACATATGTAATTGAATTTTATATTCAGTTTTCTTTTTATAAATAAATAAAGAATCACAAGTTAAATAAAAAAAGAAGACACCTTAAGACGGAAGAAACTTTGATCATGCCACGGTCGTGGAAAAAATAGTATTATGTTTCTTGTGGCTGACTGTCTGTTTACTTGCCGGTCGCTAATTTTGTATTCTTCGCTAGCGTATTGTTAACTTTTGCCGACGTCGCGGTAATTTGCCAAGTAGTTGATCGTATTCACGATCATTGCCAAGCTACTCTCTCACTCTCTTTGCAAAATAAAATTAATTAATAATGAAATAAAAAAATATGCATATGTATAGTGTAGAACTGAGTAGAAAATTTCGCTATTGGCTCGCATTGCCTTCTACGTACGTATGTATGTATGCAAGTACATATAGTGACTCAAACAAGTGTACACATATTTTTTTTTTTTGTACAATGTTTTTCATGTTGATAAAAAATATGGTTCATGTTTAAACCAAAACCATTAAAATCAAAGTTTCAAATTTAATACAAAATTTAGAAACGTTCAACAAATTTTCATAAAAAATTGGAACTTTTTAATTTGAATATGCAGTTTTATAGCTCATCATATTTTAGTACAATAAAGTGCAAGTCTTACAGCCAGTTTCACCAAACTATTTAAGTGGAAATTAACTTTAATTTAATTTTGTATTTAATTCTCATTTAAATAATTTTCAGTTTCAATAAACTATTTATTTAAGTGAGTAAAAAGTGGTTGTAAAACAGACTAGGACTAGCTTTCGCTTTCATTTGTACTGAGAGCTTTTGAAAGCTTTGGCACGCTGTTGTAAAAGCAGGGCTGGTATACAAGTAAGCAGCAGTTACACAATGATCAGGTGATTAAACGTGTAACACCTCTGAGTGTGGTTATTCTGATTTAACTTTTATTTAAGTGCAGAGCATAGGTCACTTAAATCAACATTAAAATTGATTGGTGAAACCGAAAATTCGAAAATTAAAGTTAATTTCTACTTAAATAGTTTGGTGAAACTGGCTGTTAAGCAGTTGAATAATCGTGTAAATTTTAAATATTTTTTTGTTTATTTTTGTATGGGCGAAATTCCTAAGTATTTCGTTTGCTGGGTTGGAGCTGCTTCGGTCGATGGAGTAAAAAGGTGAAATGTTTATGAAACACTTTTTATAGAAAAAATATCTAACAAGAAATTTTAACTTGAAAAACATTGCAAATATTTAGAAAAATCTATATGTGAACACTTTTTTGAGCCACTGTATGCATGTACATATGTACGTGTCACAACCTTTTTCAGCGTATTTTGCCTGCATGTGCATATTGTAGCATGTATACAGTAGTATGTACATTAGGGTGGTCCAAAAACAGTAAAGTCGGAATTGTAATGCTCTCACCCCCTAGGATTGTTCTATATCGAAAAAAGTGTACCCCTATTTTTTTTATTTTGAAATCAAAAAATTTTTGGAGGTCGCTCAAAGCGCTCGAAAGTTTTCCGTGTATTTTTATATGGGATATTTTTCGATCGGAAAACTCTGGTTCTCTTCAGGAGACTTCAGCAATAATACCCAATTGTTTATTGAACCATTTTTTAACCCTAACGATTTTTTATTGGTCGTCCTATTGCATTTTTCGGGGTTTTTGTGGGTTTTTGGCGGACCTAGGAGTTATAGTTGCGATGAAAAAATTGTCAAATAAACAATTGGGTACTATTATTGGGAATCTCTTGCAGATAAACAAAGTTTTCTGGTAGAAAATGTTCATTTTTAACTATTCTATTCAATTTCTACGAAAAGTGGTTTTTTCCCCATATAAAATATATGGAAAACTTTAAGCGCTTTGAGCGCCCTCTAATTATTTTTTGATTTCAAAATAAAAAATAGGGGTATACTTTCTTCGATATAGAAGAATTCTAGGGGGTGAGGGGCATTACAATTCCGACTTTACTGTTTTTGGACCACCCTAATGTACATACTATATACATATATGTATGTATATGATTATAATTTAGTACATACATATGTATGTATGTACATTAATTTTCATTGCCTTTCCGCCGACCAATTTACTAACTCATCCAAAGCGTCCGTCGTTCAGTGCTTTTTCACTGTTGCTTTGCTAATGTTCACTCGCGAACAGCGCTCGTCCGTCGTCTTGTCTGCAACATAAACGTAACAAAATCGTAAAGTTTTCGTACACAGCTTATTTGAAAGGAATATTTGGCACTGTGGTGAAAGCAATTGAGTTTAATTGAGTTTTTGATTGCGCTATAGTATCTTCTACGCAGTATTATAAATTTAGAAAATTTTAAACAATTAGGAAAAAGAAAAAACTTTCGTACAAACAAATAAATAAATTAAGAAACATCTCGTTTTTTTTTAACAAACAATCAACAGTAAATAAAAATATTTTCCTTCAGAACAAGTGGCGTACAATATATGTACAGAAACAACAGCTACTTGTAGCAAATTGAGTGGCCAGACTAAATTTAGTAACAATTGTGACGTTTAAGCAAATAAAACGTGTTTATTTACATCTTGACATCGCAGCACGCAGCGCACTTGGATTTTTAAGTGTGACAAAACAGTGAAAGGTAGATACATGCATGCATACATACATATATACATATGAACATAGCCATGTATGTTTGTATGTACATAGTATATACAATATATGACCGCAAAAAAAAATAAAAAAAATATAAAAAAATTATATGAAACGAAAATTACTTAATTATTAAATGTATATACTATACAATTGAGATAAAAGTTGCCACTGCATACACATTTATTTCAAACTATGAATAAAATGCCACAAAATAGGAATTTTTGCAAAAAAGTAGTTTTTTAACCAATAAAGTGTAATTTATTATAAAAATCTGTTTGCTTCTGGAAAAATTCGGGTTCGTTCTGAAAATTTTCAATATGAAGAGAAAACTATCCTTTTCTTCGGTAGGGGGCGTATGAGTAACTTAAAACATGTATCTTGATCTTTTGAATCAAAATTTAATTTTTCTTTTCAAAGAGTCTATTGTACTATGAAATAAGGAAAATCAACTTCGTCAGTATTTTGGTATTATTTATGTGTTTCAAACTTCTGTAGTTGTCTTTTTCAAAAATTTTTTTTTTTGGATTTCTTGTAATCAAATGCTTCTAAAAAATAACGAGTTTTTAATAAGTACGGCTAGGAATTTCATTCACTCAAAATTCAAAAATATTCGCTATAAACAAGTAAAATATGCAGTTAAAAATACTTTCCTAATACTTTATTGCCGGTAAAATAAAATAAATAACACATGTATTTTAACAAGAAAATAACAAAAAAAAATTAATTTCAAAATAAAATACATATTTATATATAAAACTAGTTTATAATTAAGCAGACAGTTACAATTTCGTTTAAATAGAAACATTAACAGTTTAATAAAAAATCAGGTATTTTTTTTGCATTAAAATATCAGTTGCTAGTATGGAAAAAAGATGCAAAATCTACCTGAAAATCAAACTGGTAGTATTATAGTTATAGCCTTCCCTGCTTCTTCTTCTTATTTGTCTCTACAATTCCTTCACGGCAGGGTACCTTAAACAAATACATATGTATGTATGTATGTTTGCATACGCATTGGGAATTCTTAAAGAAAAATACCTACATAAATATGTGAAACTGAAATCCGGCTCTTATCAATTCTAAATGCTTAATAATGGTGGAGTAGTTTTATTCGCGTCGGAAATAAACGAGCTTTTTTTATGACAAAGGCAACGACTATGTAGACGATCTTTGAAATGTAATAATAAGTCATTAAAAAAAAATAGTTCCAAGTTCATGACTGTATTTAATTTTTTAATGTAAAGTTTATAATTGCTTTATTATATAACCTTTCTTATTTTTAATGTAGCAATCTGAACTTTGTCAAACATAATGGACGTGGTGGCAATGAAATGTGACAACCCAATAAACATTTGGGTTGGAGATCAAGTGGAGATCCAATAAAAATTCCAAGGTCCAATGTTGATTTTCAAGTGCACCTCAATTGGAGAACCAACCCATTCTCCAACAAAACGGCACATTTTTTGTATGGGAAATAATCTGAGTTCTCCACTTGAGAAAAGTTTGGATATCAATTTGAATTCAAACTTTATTCAACTTTTAGTCAAACCTTGGGAAAAATGTTGGAGAAAAATGTTGGATCTCGACTTGGGAACGTGAATATTTATGTATATGTATGTGTGCACATTAGGGTGGCCCAAAAATGCATGTGGAAACAAAGCTAAGTCCGAATTTTAGTGCTCTCACCGCCTAGGATCCTCTTATATCGAAAAAACATACCTTGTTTTTTTTTTATTTCGAAATCAAAAAATATTTAAAGCTCGCTATTAACAATTGCATTTTTGGATGTTTTTGGGGGACCAATAAAAATTGTTATTATAAAATGGTTGAATAAACAATTGGGTATTATTATTGGAGGTCTCCTGAAGAGGAACAGAGTTTACCGATCAAAATATATTGATTTTCAAGATTTCTATACCATTTCTACGAATTTTTTTATCTTTTGATTCTAAAATAAAAGACAGGGCTATATTTTTTTGCGGTATAGACCACCCTAATGTACATAGTATACATATATTATGTATGTGTGTATTTAAAGGTGGAACGAATTTGGTTCTAGTTTTCGGCACACTACAACTAGAAATTGAAAATCGTTTAAAGAAGTATAGAATACAGTGATCGGACTTCTACCACATTGTGGTAGATCTGCCACTTTTTTCAGCATCTACCACATCTACCACACAAGGTCTGAAATCTACCACATATTCCCATTTTTGAGTAGTTTTATTTTTGCTCGACATAATTTTTTTAACTTTAAGAGCAAAAATTGAGCAACATTTAACACTTACAACAGGCAGAATGGGAGGATAAAATAAACCGTAAAATAGTAAATTTTCTCAATATTTAATTTTTCGACAGGAAACGTCGTTTTATTGTGTTAAATTGCAAAATATATGATTTATAAAAAAGAATTAATAGCGAAAATGTTAAAAAATGGCGATTTTTGTGAAAGTATTAGCAAATTTCAGTGCATCTAAAGTTTCTAAAGCGTTGTTTACTTTTGCATGAGAATTGTCAAAATCGGCAAATCCCAAGTAGCGGTTTCTGGAACGTGCCACATTTGTTCGCTACATCGTGATGTGGTAAAAAAAAGCTGGCAGCACTCCGCAAGGTTGCAGAAATCTTTCAAAATATGTTCGAAAAATATCTTGATATGGAAGGAACTGCTTTACATTGTCAAGGAAAAAAATTGTCAAAGGCCAACGCAATTTCAATGTTGCACTTCATTATAATAAAATTATTTTTTTTTTTTAGATTCTAATTAAAAGGTTTGCAATTTAGGTGAAACCTCGCAGAATTTTTTAAATTTTTGTACAAAGTTTGATCAAAACCTGAGATCTATCACATTTTTTCCAGATTCTAACACACAAATTTTTTTTAAAGTCCGATCACTGATAGAATACCTAAATTTCAGTGGAAAACAAACCTGAGATCTATCACATTTTTTCCAGATTCTAACACACAAATTTTTTTTAAAGTCCGATCACTGATAGAATACCTAAATTTCAGTGGAAAACAAACAAGCATATTAGAGTGGTCAGTTATTGGATTTTTTTTTCAAAATAAAAATTATCTATTCTTAAACGCATTAATGCAAAGCATCAGTTTTTTTTTTTATTCCTATGCTATATAATGATATCGAATATGCGCAACCATAAATAATTGCCAATTTTTTTATTTTAACAAAGTTGCTCAAACCGGAAACTTATCTCATGTGGTTAAGAAATAAAAGAGACTGATGCTCTGCATTGATACGTTTAAGAAGTTAGCCTTCCTCTGGGTCAATGAAAAATTAATAAATAAAAAACAATCACCTCCACGATTTTTTATTTGCCAAAAAGATCATCTAATTATTTTTTTCTTGCAATGATAATATGTATACAAAAATTTTAATTTATAGACAAATGAAAATTAGTAGGACTATTATTGATACGTTTTTATTACGAACTCAGCGGAATCAAAAACCGTAGTTTTTATACTAAACATAAAACAAGCTAAAATTGAGATCAAATCAACAAGTTCAATATTTTGTGTACATTTGTAAATTTAAATATATTTACATGCAAATACATACGTATGTATGTATGTAAATACATTAGGGCGGGTCGAAAAACTTAATATGTTCGGTATGAAAATTGTATATGTTGGTGTTAAAAGGTGCTATTTTAATCCCTTATTCTAGAAAAGCAATTCTGGTTCTCTGCGACAATGTCTTCAGTCTGCGAACCTTTTACCACCTATACAATTTTCGTATCAGACATGTTGTGTTTTTCGACCCGCCCTAATATACATACCCCTTAGTGCCGCTTACTAGTAAGTTACTGTTGTTTTTTATAGAGTCCTTATCTAATGGAATGCACTAGAAAAGACTACGCATACATCGTATATAAGATAAGGCCGCTGCAGCAAGATCTGTAGTCATACTTGGGGGGCACCGCCTACTTAACTGACTCAGAATTTGCACATTGGCATTCGATATCGGTAATTATTATTACTTTTTTGACTGTTATATGCGGCAATTAATAGCACTTACGAACGCAATTTTTATACATACATATGTATGTATGTATTTATGTACATGCGATGTGGTACTTTGTTATGACTCTGCTGATATTATTATTTTTTCTTAAATACTCATTCCAACATTTGAAAAATGAGGTTTGAGCATCGGTTTCTATGAAGCAGTCCCAATGTGCCCCGGCAAGGAAAGTAAATACAGTGACTCAAACAAGTGTTCACATATTGTATTCAAAATGTTTTTCAAGTTGAACATTTTTTTGTTATTTTCCTAAAAAAATATCATCCAAGCTTTAGCCAAAACCATATAAATCAAAGTTTCAAACTTTATAACAAAACAAATTTGGAAAATTAAAAAAAAACATAGAGTTGATTTTTGAGAACTTCTGTTTTGGTGACTGCTTTTGCTTTATGTTACACTGTGCGACAGCCGAAACCAGACCAGACTTGGTTAACATTTGCTGAAATTATACCCATCCAGTAGTAAAACACTCAATAGATTTGCAAAAGTAGTTTTCAAAAAAGTGGAAAAAATGGTTAAAATAAATGTCTGAGCGAAATTAAAATTTCATGGGAAATATTTTCTATGCTAACCTAATATTCTCGCAAGCCGCCAATTTACTGTCGAAAATTTCTCATGCACATACAAATTGTATGGGACCAACCGAAATTGAACGGCGTGCGTTTGAAGCTAACTCAATTCCAAATTTTTATTCTGCGTGACATTTTGATTTGACGTTTCGCTCAATGAAATCAAACGCAAACGTACGCAGACCAATTTCGGGTAACGCAGAAAAATATATTCCACGGCGTGCGTACCAAAACGCAAGCCGCGAATATTAGGTTGGCCCACGATCCAGAAAATAAAGGTCGCGCCATTCGCGGACCGCTAACCCTCTCATCGTCGATTTGACAGCATCCACCCAATCGCTGACGTCAAAAAATACTTTTGTTCACATTCACTGTTGCCAACTTAATGCTTTTCGCACCAAATTTTGTGGGTATTCAAAACCCGAATATTTTTGAGTATGGTGCTTGGTGCGTTTTTGGTGCTTTTGTTTTTAGTTTGAAGACACCAAATTATAAAATCTTAAAAAAATGGAAGCAAAATTTATAGCAATCATAAGCGTGGTAAGCAACTTCACAAAAATTTTAATAAAATCATGGCACAATCATAAGCGACAACAAAATATGTGGCAGCACCTTCAATCAAGCCAGAAAAAATCGACCGTCGTGCAAAAAACATTGATTTTTATTAATTTGAATCGGCATCCTTACAATATAATTATGTATGCATATAAAGTCCATAAAATACACCAATAAATATTTGGTGCTTTTTCAAATTGAAAACTTGGCAATACTGCCTTTTGTTCGATGCTTCCTCTTTTTCTTGTCGAGTTCGTCTTGCTCTCTCATTCTGGTATTTATTGACGTCACGGCCAGTTACTCTCAGCTCGATTGGCGCAATCTTGTATTCTATCATTCTTGAGGTTGGCCTGTAACAGCCAAACTCAATTAAAAAAAAAATAATAATTTTCAAGAATATTTTAATACTCTAACGACTTTCCAAATTGGCTTTTTGTGAGGTTTCTTAAAATAAGGCTTAATACGACCCATTCAGGTGAGAGGTAAAGGCTTAAAATATTCTACGAAAATATTTTCCATAAAATTTTACTATATACATATTGTCTTAATCTTCGATTTCGATCAGACATATATTTTATTCTTTTTTCCACTTTTTAGAAAACTACTTAGGCCGGGACATGAAAACTTTAGTACGCCGTAAAATAAAAATACGAGCAAACTTTTGCAAATCCATCGAGTGTTTTATATTGGATATGTATACTTTCAGAAAATATTAGTGAAGTCCGGGTTGGTTTGAATTGTCAGAAAATTGTCGCACAGTGTTATCAGCTGACTGCCTCCGTTTGTTTTCACCACACAATTTTGGTATATTGTTTGTGACTTTCTCCTACTGAATATGCAAATCGTCACAAGTCACAAAAATTGTCACTAGTTTATATTTAGTCTCCAATTTAGTTACTAGAGATGAGAGTGACTTACTGAATACCAGCATTATTAATCTAACTTACCGAAAAATATTCAGCAACAGTAAAGCAAATGCAAGCACTTATTTGTAAAGTTTAAGAAATTTTTGATTTACTTGATTTTGACCGTTTTTTTTGAGCATATTACTTAATTTTACATTTTCGTAAGTTTACACGTTTAGAAAAATACCCCTACCGTTGCAAATTTCACCAAAATACTTGGTCAAGCGCATAAAACAGAAACATTGATATTTATGTATTAATTTTTGCTCTTTTTTATTGCAGGGCATTTTATTTCAATCGCGCAAATAATAAGAAAAAAAGAAAACACCAACAACTTACGATATACATACATATGCACAACTATTGTCTAATTGCTGCTTGATCGTCGTTGAGACATCGCTGTGACCGCGTTAGTTTCAGCAATTGAATCTCTTCACTTAAAGTCACATAAATAAAAATTTACGCTTTAATAAAACGCAATAGCTTGGCGTACACGCTCCTCAATCAGCTGCTGCTTCACATCCAAAGAGGAAGTCTACAGAAAAATATTCAAAACTGAAGTCGACATCCGGTGCGCGTTTTACGACCACGTCATCAGCTTCAGCTTCAGCATTGGCATCATCATCCTCATCCTTCCTATCATCGCTTCTCGCCCACATTCTAGTTGAATCGTTGCTGTTATTCCTTTAAACTATTTTGCTGCTGCTATGGCATCGTCATCAGTGCTCGCTAACAATCCAATTTCGACACTAGCATCGTCGTCGACGACTACGACTACCTCACCTACTCCAATTTCAACACGTAAACGCACCTACGAGACTGCAATCTCAATGCCCGCTGTGGCAACAATAGCTAGAGGAGCAACAGCAGCTATAGCAAAGGCATCAATTGCCAACAAAATGAATGTGAATGGCAATGATATTGCCCTTAGTGATATATATGTGGATGGTGTTAGTACTGCCACTAATAATGCAATAACAAACAAAGATTATACACGCACAGTTTCACAATGCGAACCAGACGAGGAGGCCTCTGGTTCGTCATCGGTATATTACGATAGTCCAGTGAAAAGAGAGTATGTGCCGACACCACAACCGCTGCCGTCGATCAGCAGTGGCGCATCAGATCTTGCAGTAAGTGTGCACAGTTATTTTTATAATTTATTGATATCGAGGGATCTCAATTTAAAACATTTTAAAAGTTAACAGAAGCACGTTTTAATAAAAATGTATCTAACAATTTATAAATCGAAAAACTGTATGAAAGTTTCGCGAAATAACCTCTCTCTCTCTCTCTACCAGAATCTACCAGTTTCTGGGGTCTTTGTGATCTCGCAGGGTGGCTCAAAAGCTTTGGAAAGTTCCACACTTTTACTGAACTGATATAGACTCCTCAAAGGAATACTGTAGGAGTACTATAGTACGCTAGCCTATCCCTTGTGGGAATATGCAGTGGCAACTACTATAAATTCAGAACCAAGGCTATTTAGGTGTCGAGATATTCTGCAAATGCAAAGAGATCGAACTTGAAGGCATAGTGTAAATTATGATTTAAGGCGAATTCCATGGGGTTGGCAAACAAAATATGGGCTGCAGAACCGATGTGTATGGTGACACGCTAAATTTGGGCGAAGCTTGATAACAACAAAACCCAAGCTCTTATAAAATTGGAATGCTCTCAAAATCAGCTAGGAATTGAACCCATTACGCGTAACGATTTTATGGGAGCCTTCCGGCGCGTGATTAGTGACGCAGTTGTTAGGGTCTGCTCAGACTTAGTCGGCGATGTCTGCATCAGTTTTTTTCGACTGTTTGTCGAACCAAAGCTTGACGAAAATATTCCAACTAAAACGCTCCTTGAAAAAAAAAGAACTGGTCCTTTTTCTAAGTAAACAGTTGGAGTCAACATTGACTAAGGGCCAGTTTTTCAATGCTGGTTTAAACGAAGTTTAATTAAACTCAGTTCCAATTTAAACTAAGTTTAAACTACTGACCACTTTTTCAGTGCGAGTTTATGGCCGCTTCATAGTTTACGTGGCGGGTCCAAATCCAGCGCACAACCCACTGTTGAGACGGAGGTGGTTTCGCAATCGAATAAACGTTTATATAGCGAACCGCTTGCTCCAAGACAGACACCCGCCCGCTTGCAGCCTCACCTACTGGTAAACGGACGCCTCATCGAAGCTCTCTCTCGTGGCCGTGACCCAAGGCCCAACTCGGATTGGTTACCACATCTCGCATAGTGGCTGCTCATCAGTCCGGATTGAGTATAGCCGTTAAACTGTAGCTTAATATCCAGAACAACGACTATACCGCATTGCACTTCGAAACGGTCGGCGATTTTTATGCTATTTCTTGTTGCCTGATTCAATTTAATAAAAGAAAAAGTATACCCGGATGATATATAAGCATACTACGCACCAGTTCCTCATAAACTCGTCGGTTCTGGAAAAGGACATAAAGTGTTATGCCGCCTCCGAACGGCAGATGGGTTTGCCTTTGCCTACCAAAGGGCGATCACGTTTTATATAATTCGTGAAATTTTGCATGGGCTATTCGTCCTATATTATTTTATATTTTGATAATTCTTCAATCGATTAACTTTCGCCAATCCGTTCCCCTTGTTTCTACTAAAAAAGATAGAAGAAAAGTCGTGTGACTGCCGCTTTTAATGCGATTTTTAAATAGCCCATAGATATTTCAATAAAAGTTTAATTGATTCCAGTGAGAAGAGAATTGGTCTTTATTTATAGATATGTACATAAATGTTATGTATGCAATGGTTACGCATCAAATATTAAGTGATCGTTTATTTATTTTCAATTGTCTACCTATGCGACGCAAACACAATTGGGATAACTTTGAATTCCACATGATTCCTTGATGACATTTATACGCCTACCTACTGCTAACACAAATAAAGATCTAATAAATCACTGCCTTGCCTGTATAGCAGTGACCGTGCCAAGCCTAATAGTAGTTCCATTTTATTGTAGAGATGTGCAACTTGTCTGCCATTCACATCAATTTCATTTTGCTCATTTTTTCGCTTGTACGTCAAAAGCATAAATAATAAAAATAATTTTGCAAGTTCTGAATGAAAAGAATAACCCGGAGTAGTAAAGAAAAATGCATACAAACCTGTATAAAACCAAGTGGACTGTGCATAAAAATAGTCATTCGAGGATTAAATCGCGCGCAGTGAATACAGTGATGTGGTTTAAAATGCATGAAAACTACTAATTTCGCGATTAGTTCCATTAAGGCGATTGTACGTCAACGGCTTAATTGAATGGAATTGGCAAAGCCGAATCGTCGTTCTGCTAAGCGATTTGTTAATTTGTAACTTGAGTGATTTGTTAACGTTTTGACGTGAATGCTCGTATATGTATTTAAAGTGATACTTCTGTACCTTTGTGTACACCTAGAATACCCTATAGAGAAATCCATTCAAATTTTTTGAATTTAATGCGTTTTTAATTTATCCCTCACAATATGATTTTCCATATACAAAACAAACACAATTACATCTAACTTAATCTGAGACCGAAAATAGCAGTTAATCATCAAGAATTTTATTTTTAGATCATTGCGAAATCGTTCTTTTTAGATTTTTGTTTCTTCAATCATGAATAATAGTTAGATTTCGATTTTTATTTTCCGTAAAATTTAATAATTTTTAACCGTCATATTGAAGATTGTGTTTTTATGACCGTTTTAAATGATCTTTAAAATTAGGTCGAAAAAATAAAACTAAAAAATAACGATTTTTACTGATCGCAAAAATAAAAATCATAATTTATCAAATTTTAAGGGTTAAATTATGATTTCATTATAAAGATCGTAACCGTTACGAATGCTGGAAAATAAGGATTGCAAGAACAAAAATTATTGATGGAAAAAATAAAAATCATAAAATAACGGTTAAATTTAAAGCTTAGTTTCCAGCTCTTAAGAAAACGTTCAAGAAAAAAATTGGCATTATTTCGTGTGTGTGAGCAAGGAATTTTGACATTTGATATTTCACAGCCCTCTCACTCTTTCCTCAAGAAATAATGGAACGGGCATATATTTCTGTTGTAAACATGGGTTACCTTGTGCTATTTTTTCACAAAATACTGTAGAAAACCGTACATAGTAGAAAGCTTGGCAAATTTCTTAAGAATTGGGTACTCCCTTAAGGAAATTTGATACAAGAAAATTTCTTGTCCATTTCTTTTGCGTCATTTTATATGGAACTTTTGATTTTCTTGAAAGCAGGATACTAAGCATAACCGAAAAAATAGAAGTCCAATATTGTTATAAATTATAATTTTTATTTAATAACTTCATAACCGATGCGGTCGCTGAATTTTACCATTTTTAACAGGTAACAAACGTTTTGAAACCGTTTTCGCATTCGGTGCACTGTGGTATTGAAATATGCAATGCCACAATTTCTGCTGCTGGATTGTTGAAAATATGGTGAAAATGGTGAAAATTTTTAGTAATACAACTATTCGGTTACTAAATGATCGGTAACGTGCAGAATAAACCTCACCAGAAAAATAAAAACAAAGACAAAATACAAAAAATGCTAATTGATATTAACAAAATACATTTTTGTATTAAAAATACATACAATCCTCATCGCAAATATCTCAAAAATGTTCTCAAAAATACCTTTCATTTTATCCTTTTTCTAATATCCTAAGGTTAACAATTATTTAGTATATAAGCAAATCATTCACAATAGGTGCCCACCCTATTAAAAAATATTTCTAGTAGATTTTCAAAATACCTTTCTTTTGATACCCATATTGTGATGTTTTATTTAATTTCCAATTTATTTCGAATAGGTGGCAACCTTTAACGAGTATTCTCGGAGGTAATACATATCTAATAATCTTACAATGCAAAACATTATCTGTAAGCAAAATTTTATTTAAATCGTTAGAGCCGTTTCCGAGAAACCTATGTATATATTTATATATATATACATATATGCAAGAATTGCTCGTTTAATGTAATAAGTTATATATACATAAGTATATATTTATGTACATATGGCTCTTTCCATGATGTCGAAAGTGATATTCGTACGAATTTAGAGTTAAATAAATCATACGGAAGTCACTTATAAAAAAATGTGCCGTTGTGTAGCTTTTATACCGTCCTTTGGTTGGCAAAAAAGGCGGTCATAACGGCGGTTTGTACCCATTTACTCGCATTTTCGGTTTACATTTTTAAGGAAACGCCCATATACCTAACGCCGAAATAGATATTTTACTATTGAAATCTTCCCTACAGGGCATGCATTTAACACACGATTGCCGTGAAAAATGCATCAACAATAAAACGTAAATAGTGCAAAACGAAATTTACAATAATAACAATTATCAAATAAAAATGTCACGCCATTTTCAACTTGATGCTTTTGTACACCTACCTAAGAGCAAATCCATACATACATACATATATACATATGTACTTATCTACATACATGCACACACAAATGTGAATATCGCTACGTTCCCTGCGAAAAATTACATTTAATATAGAAAGGCCCTATCTCACATCGTTCCCATTTTCATTGATTATGATGCATTTCATCGAATTATAAGTCCCCACATCATTTTAATCAAAAACAATTTTTAGTCAGTTAAGGATTTTTTTTTTTGTATTTCAGCGACAATTTGAGTTAGGGCCTTTCTATATTAAGGTAACGATATATACATTGTATATACAGTGAAAAGCAGTTAAGCGGACAAATTAATAATAATAATAGTAGATTGGCGCTTAAACAATATGTTAATGTTTGGCCGAGCTCCTCTTGAATTTCATTGTGATCTATTACCAGAAGACGATATGCAAAAACTAGGTTTTGATCTCCCTCTGCACATGTGCGATGGGTTATATTTTTTTTTTTTTTATATATTATGTGTTTTTATAAGCGTCAAACACGAAACTATGACTGTAACTGGTGTTTAATTTAAAATTTGGACAAACTAGACCACTTAATCAAACGTTTTTTTATTGGATTAACGATTAATGATTAAAATTAGTTAATCGTAATCACAACCGACGATTAACGATTACAAAAAAAAATTAATCATTAATCGTACAGATGATTACGATAACATTTTAATCGCTAATTTTTAATCATTAATCAGATTAACATTTTGCCAACACTTATGGACTAAAAGTAAGTGAGTGTTCGTTTGTTTGTGTAATGCTTATTAATTTTTTTTTTTATAAAGGTCCAGCTCATTATATAACCAACGCCATAAATAGTGGCGGAAGAAATAATAGAAACTTTTTTATTTTGATCAGTTTTGGCTATTCCTTTTGTTTATTCGATGTTTATTATTTTTGGAAACCTGTTGTAAAACACATATGGAAGTTATTGATTGATAAACGCGCTCACTTCTTTAAAAACATGAAGGAAAGCTAGCAATGGCAAGTATAATAAAATTTTCTTTAAAACGGCAGAAATTTAACTTTAAAAATTGCTAAGAAATATATACTGATATGCATAAACTAAAATAACAAACATATAAGATTTTCACATAAAATAAAAAAAAATAATTTTTTAAAATTAATTTGTATTTGATTATTTTTTTTATAATGCTAATATTTTGATAATGATCTTGATGGAATGTTATAATTTTTTTTTTATTGCTGTTGGATTTATTTCAACTTACCTAAAAAAATGGATTTTATCTTGTTCGCCGCAACGATTGTCTCGTGTGGAATCCACATTAAAAATGACTATTGAGTGCCTTCTTTATTTGTAAAGTTTATTTGAAAAGTTGTCAGAATTCTCGCATTTTTTGTCATAAATTCAATAAAAGAAATAAAAGGTTTATGAACGCATTCGCACGCCAATAAGGTTACATATTTACTAAATAATTTATCGATACTAAAATTGCATAAAAGTAGCAACTTACAAAATCACCAACGCCAAAAAAGGAATTGTCTATTTTACCATTCAATTAAGTCAAATCAAATCGTAGTCCGAAAAAAAACGCAAACATATTTTGAAGGCGTCAAAAAAATTTAGCTGAAAGATGACAACAAAATTGGTATCCGCCAAACCAGCGGTCATTAAAATGTTACCAATGCAAATGGATTTTAAAGAATTTGTAAATGCATTTTTGTTTTACTATTTTGTTGTTACACTACATATTTCTGTGCAGAAAGTGTTTTACCTCGAAAATTTTATTTTTTACCATAACCTTTATTTTGTATTTATATTTTTGTAGACAATTTGCAAGCCCGCACCTCTGTCCACAGATGAAGAGGCCGTTGTGGAGCGTGAGAAATGTGATTACAACTATAAAATCACCTATCAAATGGCGCGTTCGGGCCAGACGAAACGACGCGTACGTGTCTATGCCGATGGCATTTATGACCTCTTCCATCAAGGTCACGCCAGACAGCTAATGCAAGCAAAGAACATTTTTCCGAATGTTTACTTAATTGTGGGTGTGTGCAACGATGAACTAACACACCGCATGAAGGGGCGTACCGTCATGAATGATCAAGAACGTTACGAGGCTTTACGTCACTGCCGTTATGTGGATGAAGTAAGCATCTAAATGATCAATTGTAATTATTCGTTATTACAAAATTGCCATACATATGTATGTACATATATTTTTAACGGCCGTTGCACCGGTGTACCTATGTACCTACATATGTTTGTATGCATGTAACTATTTATAATTAAGTGTTGTACATACATATTTGCATAGAGTCATTTTAATTGATTTTCTTATATACATAGATTGTACCGGATGCACCTTGGACTCTATCGGACGAATTTATTGAATCGAATAAAATTGATTTTGTTGCACACGATGACATTCCATACCTTGGTAATGGTGTGGAGGATATTTACGCACCACTGAAGGCTAAAGGCATGTTTGTGGCCACTGAACGTACGGAAGGTAAGAGAGTTGAATTGCTTTAAGCCTCTTCGGCATTATGATTTCTGCGCGTTTGTTATGCGAAAATAAGGAAAGCTTGGTAGAGATATCCAAGAAACGAGATTGTCTTACTACATAGAACCTATAAATTCGAAAGTATGTAAATGTCTACAAGAAGTAACTGCTCTTAGAAAAAATATTTCTATTCCACCTACCTAACTGATATCCGAATTGGAATTGTTAATCCTCAATTATTCTTTGTTTCCAAATCTCGGGCACCCATCCATGCGCTTAATTTTTTAACAGTCAAAAGGAATCGAGGTAGTCATAGACAGACGGACGGCTCTGTGAAACACCTGAGAGGAGAGGGTTTGCACGGGAACCACACTGGAATTAGTGGGAAGATGGGCCATTGCCTTGCATATGTGGGCTCGGCTTTAGATTCCTTAGGAACCGTCAGCTATAGAAGAGATCCAGATGGTACTCATTTACTGTTAACCGAGTTTTCTAACACACAACTGCAAGTTGATTAGTTTCGAGAAGTCAGAGGGACATGGGCTCCATCGGCAACTTCTGTGATCACAAAAGGTTGAGACAATGTTGTTTGTGTTGTGTTTGTAACAGTATACAAATTTCCCAAGCAGTTTTGGCGAGTTTTGCCGAAGTGATAGTCCTTGGCCATATATTTCAACTGGATCGTTCCGGTTACGTAGAAACGACTGTTGTGTAAACGAAGCAGATCTTATTGGAGTTCGTCAAAACTATAGGTGGAATTTTTAACTGTAAAATTTTGCAAGTGACATTTCGCTAAGGACATGCGTCGAGCACTTTTTAACTTCTGTTAATTTTCTTTTTAGACTAAACTAAAAATTCATTTATATTTTTCGTTTCGTTTTATTCAATCAGGCGTTTCCACATCGGATATTGTGGCACGCATCGTCAAGGACTACGATTTATATGTACGCAGGAATTTGGCGCGTGGCTATTCGGCCAAAGATTTGAATGTATCATTCCTTTCGGAGAAGAAGTTTAGATTTCAAAATAAAATGGATGAACTGAAGGTTCGCGGTCGTCGCGAATTGACCAAAGTGAAGGATGATATCATTACAAAATGGGAGGAAGCATCACGTGATTTTATCGATGCTTTCCTTTTACTTTTTGGACGCGAACGTCTCAATCATTTGTGGAACGAATCGAAGGGTAAATTAATACAAGCGCTTAGTCCACCTGGCAGTCCCAGTGGTTCAGTGAATGGTGATGACGAAGATGTTGATGATGGTGATTTCGAGGACGATACTGATTTCGCAACTGTACGCATGCCGGCCAATATTGCGCGGAGTCGTGCACTTGATAGTCCTACGGTACGCCGTAGCAGCGGCCGTGGAACAACTTCGAATTTTGCCGCCAGGGCAGCCAGGTTAGTCGAACAAGAAGAAAATGATGGTGATGATGATGATGAGGATGGCGGCGAATATGAGCATAGAAGTGATTAGAGCAAATTATATAATATGATACCCAAATATTTCGTAGGTAATATTATTATTATTGTAACGCAAATGCGCTAAAGGGAAGAGAAAATAAGAGCTAAATTAAAGCGAAACACAATTATTTGCAGACATTTGTGTGTCTATGAGAACTTTTCGTCAATGATGAAGCATAAATTTGTTAAAACACACGAATTATACATACAAACATAAATCAGCTGAGTTGTGCTAGTGAAAGTATCACATTGACTATGGGTTATCCGAGTCGATTCCGGATCACAAAAAAAAAAAAAATTGAATTAGACATCAAATGCGCTGTGGTCGGGTGTGCCCATCATATTTTAATCAGCTATACTTGTAAATGATTCGACGATAAACCGCCAACCAATTTCAGAACGAGAAACAGTAGCAACAAGAAATGCCACAAAATACGATGCTATTTATTCTACAATTTCTAAGTAGTTTAGTCTATGATCACTCCTTAGGTTAGTTTTTCATCCATTTAAATATACATACTTATTAGTACATGAATACTTATTAATTTACAGTTTATTTATGCTTGCGTATATACTCGTACACGAATGGTCAACGAAATATATAAGGGTATATTAGTGATTTAGTAAAGAATTTCGGGATATATTTTTTTTCATGTATTCCAAAAAAAGTTTATAAAATGAGTCTTTGGAAAAATTATGTTTTGTTTTTTTTTTTGTGTGTTTAAGGAATGAATATAAGGATTGATTGACTCGGTTCTTGCAAACTGCTTTGCACTCTTTGTTTTATTTAATTATGCAGATGTGTGTCAGAGCGAGCTACTAATATTTTTCATTCGATATGCAAAGAAATATATTCAAAAATTATTCGTTTTCTTCAAATTTAAAAAATCAAATATCCATTTTTCGAATAACCCGAAAGCGGTTTTAAACACAATTGAATACAAAAAAATGGAAATTGTATGTAGATATTTCATAACCAAAGAACTTTATTTCATTTACATATTTATATATTTTTAATTAGTTCAACGAGTAATTTTTTTTTTTGGAACAACTGATGCTTTTTCATATTTTTTTTTTGCAAAAAAAATAAAATATTTCATTGACCATATCCGTGCATGTTAAAGCAAAGCATTGCATATTTTCGAGTTAATCTATTATGAATGACTCAGCAGCTTAAAGGTCGCGATCATGAGCGGGCTGGACTCTTAAGACCAATTCAAAAGTTGCAAAGTTTATCGCTGAAAAATTATTGAACTCAAACAACAATATGTATTTGTGTGCTTAAGCAAACAACTAAGCTATTTTTATGAGCTTGAGCAAATAAGTAAATGAAATGACATATCGATGATCATCTGCAATAACGGCACAATTCAAAATTCAAAAAATATAAGCCCTTACTACTGTTAAGAGACTCATGTTTCTAATTCTTGTCTAATCCATGTCCAATCCTTATTTAAAGTAAGTAGTAAGGATTAGACAAAGATTAGATCCATGAGGCACTTAACAGTAGCGAAAGTCTTTATTTTGTGAGTTTTGAATTGTGTCGTTAGAGGACCAAAGATATGTTTGTTGTATATACAATATTTAACTAACTAAAATTGAATCTTTTTTTTTAATTTTAGATGAATTCAAATTGCGAAGAGATCCTATCTCGTTTTTTATTTATTTTAATCTGAAAATATGTGTGTATAATTTTCTCATAAAATATCGTTTGCTTTTCTATCTCTTAAGTATACCTAAGTATGTATATTTACGTAAATACATACATACATGCGTAGACATACATATACTCGTATAGTATGTATGGTAAGTGGTATTTTGTGATTCTTTTCGCATGACTGATTTCTTATATATACTTACATAAATATGTATTTGTTACAAAAAATTTATTAAATTAAAAGAAAAAAAAACATAAAAAACAACAAAAGTAAAGACAATTGTTTCAGCCAAGAATGGAAAATGTATAACATAATGAAAATTATTTTTCGACGGAAAGAAGAAATATTTAATTAAATTATAATGCGTTATAGCGTCAAAATACCAACGTTTGTTTACACAAGTAAAGAAAATGCAGAAAACTTTTAAAGTATCACGTATGTCATGTAAGAAACGAGAGAGATATTGTCCAAAGGAAATAAATAAATAAATATGTAAATTCAAGTATCTTACACGAAAGTGTTGACAAGCATCTTAAAATAGGCTTACAGAACCATAATGTGTTTTTTTTTTTGTTACTGTACCACGTCTCTTTTTCAAAATTCTTCTAAGTTCGCTTCGACGACTCTCGGATGTATGTTACTAAGATTTTTCACGACTCTTAACCTAGATCATCATTGCGAAATTTAAACCAAAAAAACATATCACATCGAATTATTGATAGCAATCAAACAATACATCAGAGGATTTAATGTTGTGCGTGGGAAAAGTTCGGTTATTTGTACAATAATTTTTTGGTTGGGAGCGGAGGGGGACGGGATGTGTCACCTAAAACTCATTAGAAAGAGCACAGTATAAACTTTAAGAAATGTTGTCCTTCGCCTCCCTGCCTTTTCTATAGGCACTCGGGGGGCCCATTTCAAAATGGGGTAAAATTAGCAATTTCGCAAAGGAAAATTTTACTCGTGTTAGGCTATGAGCAGTATTTTTGCGCAAAACTCCTTTCCGTGTTGGTGGCCTTCGGCCGCACTAGAAAAAATAACCACATCAGTCCAACTCCGGTTACGCCGCACAGTGTGCTTTTTGAACACTCCATTCGAATTAAACGTAGCGCCTTCGCAGAATCAGTATTTTGATATGAAACAAAATAGTTTTGAAAGCTAATGTTATTCCCTTTCATTGAAAAATATTGGCATCGAGCCAAAATTACTTCGTGAATGCATATGTCCCAAAAAAAAAATTTTGTATGTTTTATTACACTAATATTATTTATTTTGAGATGAGAAACACGATTGCATTGTTGAAAAATTGACACAAAAAAAATTTAACACCAATTTAAATAATGTATTTTTTATTGCCAAAACCATTTTGTTTCATATCAAAATGTTGCTCAGTCTCAAGTTATGTAGACTCCCGCCCTGTGAATGCAGTTCTAGGCACACAACCACCTGACGTGGACGGGACAGAACTTCGTCTGCGTCGGGAGACCCGCACCACAATAGCCCAACTTCGGTCTGAGGATGTGCCCGGCATGTGGAGAGTCGCCACATGGCACTCGGCACCTCTTCACCGGCCCTGAAAACCCCACCCAGCTGACGCCCCTGTCCTTATGGACAGACCCTGTTGAAGTCACACACTTCCTGGGCCTCCCCTTAGCGGAAACGGACGACAACGTTGACGGATGAACCCACCCGAGGAGGGCTTAGTAGCCGCTACAATAACAACACCACCAACACTAATATGTAGGTAATAAACACAGTTTATGTTTTAATGTAGTAATTGATTTAAATTTAGAGGAATAATTTAGTGAGTATGTATGTAATTACCGACTTTTATCCAGAGCGAAGTTTTGAACGAAAATTAGGACCTGTTCGAGGCACGTAATAAAAGCGACATTACTACCGCACTGATGAAAATTTACAATACTGTTGCAACTGCTCAACTGATAGATAATACGTTGCCAGAAATTCGCACCGAACGTGATACTTTACTGGCTATCCAGAATGAAGTACCACAGCCGCAAGCTATTTCGCTAACTACATCAGCAATAATATACAACAACCACAGCTACATATTGTACGCAGTTTAGAGCATTTAGAAGATTTTAACTTTTGACAGCTCCTGGGACATACCACAGCCTCACTTTTCTGGTTAGCCAGTTAATTATACGCGCAACACTGCGGTTGTGATTGCAACTCGAACAAGCCCTTAGTACGGGCCTTTCTATATTAAGGTAACGATATGCATATGATGCGATCGTAGCTATTCGAAATCAGTGATAACATTTTCGTAATTTCACGGAAAATCGGACTAAGATGGATTCAGTGATGTATGTAGCTATTATAAAGAATTGTTTTACTGCTCATTTCTTGCCCAATTATGTTATTTAACGGCACTTAAAGTTTTCACACGAGGCTTGCCGTTTCACATCGGATCAGGAATTGCATGAGGCCCAAATGCTTGTAGCATTGCGAAGTGCAGCAAAACGATCGCCGGTTCAATAACGCAAATCTAAAAGTCATTTCTATAAGCACTTTTTACTAGACAAATGCACTAGCCTATCAATATGGCACTAATAATAAAAAACAAAGTTGATTTGCTTTTCTGCAAACGTATTTGATATTTTATTGCATTTTTTATTTTGAATTGTCGTTAACATTATGGGTACAGGACGCAACAGTACACACTCGCATGAATTGAAATACTTACATAGGTGTAGCTGAAGCTGTGAATTTTGAGTTTGATACACCTGCTGAATTTATAAAGAGAAAATAAAAAATAGAGCATACATTATCCTTGCCAAAACAAATCTTCTTAGTTAGTTCAAAACATTATTTATAGTATTGAATAATAATCAAAATAACCAAAAGGAACATGAAATTAAAATATACATATTTGGATTTTTTTCACATAGTCTGTAGGGGATTATTAATTCATAGTAATACGAGCCAATCGATCTTTGTTTTTTCCCCTTATGTGGGTCAATATATACGTTTCATTGAATGAATTTATTTGCCAGCATAATTTATGCCTGTCGAGAACAGTGGTACCATTTTTTTAGCTTTCTTATTCTTTTTACCACCAGCTCCTACAGCATGTCCAGCATTAGCAGTTGTAACACTTTGTTTCTTTTGTGATATAGCCATGGCAAGAACGTCACCCAAATCAGTGCGCATGGGAGTAGTAAATCCATTATTTTCTACTGAGAAACTATCAAGTGATTCACATTCACTGGAGCGATCAGACAATATGTTGCGATTTGTAGTGTTACTAGCAACAGGTTTTTGAGTCGGTGCGCTTTTTCCCCAAGTTGATAACTCCTGATACATGTTGCTGTTATTTGGGCTTGGTGATGATAATGTAGGCCAATATTCCTTAATGTCAGGCGATTCGCCGACTACAGCTACTGCTGAATATGTTGCTTGATGTTTAGTTTTTGGTATTGCTGTCGGATTGCTCCTAGGCACATCTCCATCAGCACTGACGCTGGGTAGTGCCTCTTCAAAGCCCCACTAAAAATAAGATTAATAAATATATAAATTAGTAGCAATTTTATTTAAAAATTTAAAAAATAGTTTCCATACAGTTGGAAATTCTTGTGCGGAGGACAAGTTTAAGTTTGTGGTACTAGCAATCAGTTTTCCCATTTGGCGATCGTTTATTTCATTAATCTGCTTTTCACGACGACGTTCGTCGCGATCACGGCGTTGACGCTCTTTCTTGCGCATAAGTATATCGTCTAAAGTATGTAAAAAGGCACTACATATAATTGGTGTCTGGATAAAGAACTTTTTTCATTTTACAAACCTTTGAACAAACGCAATATTCCATTGGTCACAATCGGCGGTTGTAAATCTACTTCAATTACCCCAAACTGGCATGTCAATGGTAAGTGTCCCAGGCATGTGAACTTACGGCGATGTTCTTCGTCCATAGAATGATACTCCTTTTGCAGCACACGTGCAGTTATTACTAACGGTGCCTGTTCTAATGTACCATAACAAGCTTGCATCATTTTAATGTTCAAGGGATGCAAGTAAATATTTTGTCCATCTATTGACTGGTAAAAATAGTAATATTTTATATTAATTTTCTGATCTCCGAAAGATGATATATCCAAAGTATTCGTATTGTCCAAAGAATCCTCAATACTGATGCTGCTCCCAGCACTTGAAACGTTAATTTCATGTTCGTTTTGTAAACCACCCTCAGCATCTGCCGACTCTGAAGTATTACTTCCATCATCATCTAAAATCGGATTCACACATTTAGTGGTTTTTAATTCATCCTCTAAAATATTTTCATCTTTATCCTCTTCCATTTCTTCTACTTTATCACGTCGTTCTTTTAGTAAATCCAAAGCTTGTTGAATGAATACATATTCGGGGCATGAAGGGTCCTGCCCAGCAACCAATTCACGTTCTTCACGATCGACAATTTTAAGAATGTCATTGCGTTTAGCATACAAAAACTTTGAAAATTTGGACTCTTCATAAGCAGAAAGAAGTGGATAGCTATCACTTTTATCTTCATTTGGGTTTACTTCAAATTTTTCAATCATCATGCTTCCTTTCTTGCGACGCATCAAATGAAAAGTTATTTCATCACCAATATTAAACTGGCGTTGTTGTACAATGGTTGTACTTTTTAAATCAGCAGTATGAATTGCTTCATAGCATATGGGGCATTTGCGCCAAGTTTTATCGCTTAACGCCAAATAGTGTAGAATACATGGCCAGCAATAGGCATGGCCACAACGTGTTAATTTAGCTGCAATTGGAGGATATAGGCAAATGGGACATTGTGGCTCCTCTTCAGTTTGAATATTAATTTGCTCGATAAGATGCCAATCGATTAGATTGTCGGGAGACGCAAAAGTATTTAGGTTAACACCAGATTTTATAACGAATTGAAAACTAAATGAAGGGAAATTGAAATGGGGTCGAATATTTGCGAGTGAATACGAAACTTACTTTGCTTGTAAAAACTGCTCTTTATTGTAACGGTGACGTTTGCTTGCACCACTACTGCCTCCATGGCGCTGTGTAGCCCCAGTTGAGCCGCTACCGCCACTACGACCAAAAACGTTATAACTAAAAGCGTTTTCGGCGTTACGTGGTGCATAGTGAAAGTTGAGCAAATGGTTCAAATTCTGCTTCTTGCTTCCTGGCATGTACACAGAATTGAGCTCGTAGTCAACATGTGGCTGAAACTTCTTTTTGACCAAAGCACCGGTCTCCACCGGCTCTACTGCAGTGGCTAATCCGGCGCTGGTAGCAGAAACATCATCAGCCGCGCATGTAAAGCTGTCTTCGCTAGTGCCAGCTTCATTGCCGTTACCAACATTGTTGCCGCCGCCACCGCCACGCTGGCGTGGACGTTTATCGACATTAGGACGTGCTTTGACTGAAGGGAACTGCTTGGAATTGCGCTGCGAGTCGTTACGAGTTGTTGTTGAAGGTTGTTCACGAGGACGCGAATTTTTTGGCCAAGGCTTTACTTGTAAATCTGTGCGTAAAGATAATTGACACAAATGAAATACATATTTTTCTACATGAATAAATACAAACCTGCAGATGACTTGCGAACCGAAGAGTCAGTGGGCTGACACGCCTTCGAGCGTGTAAAATTGCTTTGTTGTTGTTTCTTGTTGTCCATTGTTATTTAAAAAGAAAACTGCAGAAGCACAGCACGTAGCTGGGCGAAGGGAACTGGGGGAATTGAAAATGAAAGAATTCTTCGACAGCGAACTGTTGTGGGTGAATTTTTCTCCAAATGGAGTTTTATGCACTTGATTAATTTTAAATCGAGACATTTTTACTGGGCCATGATTTTAACTACAAAATACACGAAAAATTACGTCGCGTATAAAAATGTATTGCACGGAGTATATCTGCTTGCGAAAACGAGGTTAAAACTCGTAGGCGAGTTGACTAGGCGAATCAAGGGATGACGTCGTCAATTTTATCGCAAATTTCAACAACCGTTTGTGGCTTACTTTAGCACACAAAAGCTTTATCACTCTATTATATTAGCTATTCTCTGGATCTGGTATGGAGATTTCAATGCGAAAGTAGAAATATTCTAAAAATCCGAAACATTCAAGTTTTTGCAATTCCAGAATGAAAAAATGGAAGCCACAACGACGACGAGCTAAAAAATTTGGCCCAACGAGTAAAATGCAACGAGAAATAGTTGACAACCGGAAATTTCCAACTGTCATTAGCTCGTTCAGTGCGCGAGCAGTTGGTTTGGGAATTAAAAATAAAACAGATATTTAGTTCTAGAGATATTGCTTATTAGGTCCAAGTGAGCATAATTTTTCACCCAGACCTGTATTAATTGAAAAAATCGTTTAACAATAATACTACCCGCAAGACTTCTTTATTTGCATCAATTATTGAATAGCAAAAATCAGAATGGCCTTGCTATGAACACCGGCAATCAAAACCAATTGGAATTTGTTTACATTTCAGCAATTTCAGTCGCAAACAAAAAAAATCAGCTGTAATTTCACTGGTAGTGGTTATCGCTTCTGCACTTTGGTCTATTTACAGAGCAGTATAATCTTTTATGTAGATTTTTGTAAAATGTTGCATCGTCATAAATTCAGTGGCCAAATTGCTTTGGATTTTAGAAATGCGCGAGCCCGCCAACCAGAAATTGTTCGGTCCGTGCAAAAGGATTCCAGGTATACGGATGAACTTGCAGAAGACCTTTCGGATTTACTTCGCTTGACCGGGTCGCGTAGCTGGATAAAGTATCATCAGTTGTGTAAGCTCTTTGCTGAAATCACGTATCATGGATTTGCTTCAATTAATAATTTACAAACACTTGGCGAGGAATACACAGGAACTATTCAAGTAGATAGCGCTTACATGAACATTCCGTCACGTTTGGTAAATACTTGACTTTGAGCAAATAATTAACAACTCCTGAAACAATTACAACTTTTTATGCAATATTTATAGCTTCAGCTGGTTTCCATTATATTTGAATTTGGTGGAGATGCTTTGTATCTGCGAATTTTACAGAAATTGGAAAAATCCATTAGAGATAACGATGAAATGGTACCAGAGGCAAAGCAGAAATTACTAACTGCAATACATGTTATGCGTTCCTCACCACAATACATCAAAGCGTTGCATAAATCGCTCTTCTACCTACGCTCTAACAAATACCAAATTTCGAAGCGCTTCACAGGCATAAATTATGTGCTGATACGTCATTGGCTGCAGCCTGATTTTTCCTTATACGGCTACAAATTACTTGGTGTTGTAACATTTTTACAGGTTACCCTATCATTAGTAATAAACGCATATGAAGCATGGAAGGAACATCGAAGAAAACAAAAGGAAGTAGTTACTGACACTACAAGACCTTTACTCAGCACAGATCAAGGTATTGAGGAGCGTAAAAAATCTGATGCGCCACAGTGTATCCTTTGTTTGGAGCCACGCATTAATACGAGCTTGACACCGTGTGGTCATTTATTCTGTTGGAACTGTTTATTGGATTGGCTAGACGAACGAGATGAATGTCCGCTGTGTAGAGAGAAATTAAAAAAGTCTAGTATAGTACAGTTACAAAACTACCAATAGCTTAAATGTGAGTGGGTTTGAGTCATGATTCATTGAATCACGGGTTTGAGTTACATATTTATGTATGTGGGGGACCAAGGCGAATTTAATATTTAATTAAATTCTCATTTTGAGGGATTATTGTGAATAAAATCTATTATTGTTATTTTTGTAATGTCGGATAGGTTTTCTTACCAGGATATATAAGAAGGGAGTAGGAATAAAGACACATTAGTGGTATTCACCAAAGTGAGTAAGTGGCCTGGCTGTTGATAACTGCCGATGCTTGAGCTCATCTGCTCTTTTGCAGAGTGCTAGGCCACTTGCTCCATTTGGTGAATACAACTATTATTTATGACGCTGCTGAGGCAATTTGGCTTGGTTGGAGGGGTCACTTACCAATGCTTCCGCTTCGGACCACCTGCACATTGGACTGCCAGTGCAGCACGATATTTCCGAAATCGATTTGCGCGCTTTGAGTTACAGTCACACCTTACAACTTTCATTTCTGAAACTGGGCTCAAATCGTAACATCCGTTCACGGATCGAAAATCATACGAAAGAAAATTACGTGATACGTTAGTCGTACAAGCAGAATGGGATAAAGAGTACGTTCACGTAGTATATCATAAACCGAAAAATGTGTTTTACATGACGAATAATACGATATCGTAGAAGCGTTCCAGCGATTTTTGGACTAAAACTTGTAGAACTGTCGGATTTTAAGATGTTGTATATCGATAGGTGCAATCCCGTATTCCTCGGACTCGGACTAGTAAAACTGTCAAAAAATTAAAATTCGTTCAGAGCGAGAGAGTAACATTGAATAGTACGGGATCGCTCTCTAGTAAAAAATCGTAACTTGTGTCAACTTCAACATAACCTCCAAATTTTGGTTGTAAATTTTTGATTATTTTGTATGTAAACATACTCAGCTCACACATGTAAATAACCAAAAATACTTTCAAATTCATTAGAATCCACTTAAACAAAAAATTAAATACTTTTCAACATGAATTAGCAGAGTGCACTTTTCTTTTGTTTACAATTTGGTTGCCAAACACACTACAGCTGATCGTTTGACACATTTACCAGAATTTACCAGCGAAAAATTCTCGGACTAAAACTGATAACTTCTGACAGAGAGAACCGTATTTACTCTCTTTTTTGTGCTCTCAATAGTCAGAGAACCGAGTACGGGATCGATTTCCAGTAAAATCTGACTGATTCTGACTATTTCTGACTAGTCCGGACTCGTACGGGATCGCAACTGATATTTAGAGAATACACTTTTTTGTAACAAAAGTTCTTTAACCTCAATTACCCTGTTCTAGTACTAACTTACCCGATTTCAGTTCTTGCCACCATATTTTTAGTATATCAACGTTCACCAAAAATCATTAATTGCTTTACTGGATTTATTCGTAGATCGTGTGGGTTTAAGGGATTAAAAGGGATCTAAAACCAGTAGAGCTGCTAAAACCAGGCAAACCGTGAAAAAAACGGAATCTTATCGGCAGGTAACTCTCCTTTCCCAGTAGCGGAGACACTAGAGGCCTTATTACTTGCTTATTTCACGTATCACCTGACTCCAGCGAAGCATCCACATGTCTTCCATGAAGAGTACACCACCACCGCAGTAATTAACGCAATCAACAGTCAGATAACCCGTGGCTTTAACCGAAACCGACACTGTAAGAGAACAACCCTAGCAGCGATGAATTTGTCTAAAGAGTTTGACACCGTATGCCACTCCAAGCTACTCGAATATATTAAGGCTTTCTATCTTCCTTAGAGCAATCGGAAACAGTGCGTTCGATAATGGCGTGCGGCAACAGAATTTATAGCCTATGTTCAAAGCTAAACGGTTACCTCTCCGAATGTTCTCGCTTCGTCACTGCAAGGAGATTAAATCTCTGCCCTACGAAATCCTCAGCAAAACTTTTCATCGCCTGGACGAAACACGTCAGGCTACAGCTTAGTATTCGCTTCGATGGCGAGCAAATTCCGATGGTGAACAACGTAAAAACTCTTGGAAACCTCTTCGACAACATGCTCTCTTTATCCACATAACCGCAATTGTTAATAAAGAACAGAGCCCCAAAAAAGTCTTCAAATCGCTATCGGGTAGCCTTTGGGGCTAAGGCCAAGAAATGTTGTTGGCACCATACAAAGCAATTTTCCAGCCGGTTCCAAACTATGCAGCGGCCGTGTGATAGCCGGGGACTAGCAGGACGCAATGTATGAAACTACAGACGTTTCAAAACACAGCACTCCGGACAGCCACGAGGTGGCTTCTGAACACCACTTTCATAGCGACACCCCAATGCTCCCAGTAAGTGAGCACCACATTACGCTATGCAGGCAGATTCTGGCGGTGTCCTACAAACGGACCCTTGTTTGTGGAAGAGACTTACATAGAGCAACCACCGGACCCAACGACGTCATCAACGGTCATTCCCACGACAGCCGGTTCTACGTACCGGAATGACTCGGGTTTTACCCGACCAAGGGCTATTGTTTCGGCGATCTAACCCCGTTTAGGTCGGCGAAGTATCTCAGAAGTTGTTCGTCCATAGGGCTACATTCACTTCGTATTCTTCTACTCAGGGCTGGCATCGAGTCAAACCTAGGGCCAGAAATCTACACCAGCTGTGTATGCCGGAGACGACTACACCACAACTCCACCACGCGAGGGGTGGAGTCACCTTAGGGTCTGCTCAGGACTACGGACACATAGACAGTGGACCCCTGTTGCTCAAACAGAGCAGCCTCCACGGCCAACCTCAGTCCACCCGAGCAGCCTCACACAGTCACCACAACACAACAACATAATAACACCACAGACCATACCACAGCCACGACAGACCACATAACACACACAACCGCACCACCACCCATACGCTGCCGCCAACAACTCCTGGTTCCCCCTACAATCTGCACGGATTGTCAGACCAGGATATTCCGTAATGTGACATCAGTCAAGTGCAACACCTGCCTTGGCTGGTGCCACTTTAGGGCATGCTCAGGTCTGTGTACCACGCGAGAGTGGACTGGGAACTTCGAGGGCCCGTGTTGCGCTGCTCGGTCGCAGACCCCAACTGCGACGCCTCCCGCCACCACTACAGGGCGGCAACCGTCACAGCAGCACACACAGCTAACGGCGGTAAGAACACACACATCATTTACACCCCACCTCACGACACGTCTCCCGAACCACATGAAGCTCCTTCAATTTAACTGTAACGGGCTACAGAGCAAGATTGAGGAGATAACCGTCTTCATGTGTCGGCATGGTATATTGATAGCTGCGGTCCAAGAGACGAAGTTGCACAGCAATTCAACTTTGTTGAATTGCGCCGGGTACAACGTGCACCGTCGAGATCGCGAGCGAGATAATGGTGGTGGCTTAGCGTTCATCACGCACCACACCGTGCAGTATCGTCTTATCGAAGCAGACATCGACCGCAGGGATACCACCCTAGAATGTCAGGGCATCGCTATCCGGTCAGGCGATGTTGAGCTCGAAATATTTAACATATACATACCCTCTGTCACCTGCTGCCCGGCGGGATATCACCCTGATATAGGTGCGCTCCTCAGAGGT